ATAAGTGGGAAGGTATTGAACAAGGGGAGAAAAAAGAGTCAACACAGGAAGAGATGCATTCAGGAACAGCTGAAACAATGTCTGCCAGGGTGGTCTTGCTTATGGATTTTGATGCAAAGATTATTGAGAAACGGTTTAGTTTATGCAAATATTATGAATCAATTCTTTAAAAAATCCTTACACTCACACAAACACACAAGTCTGAGCGGGGAACAAAAGAAAATGAAAACTCTGCAGTGTGTTAACTTTAAAACACTTTTGGTCAAATAATAGTTAAATTCATGAAAAAAAGCAAAAAGTCACAGGGTGCCCAAGTGGTGTTCTGATTCCAAATACATTCTGCACATGCAAGCTGCTGGCCCTGGGCTGTCTTCTGAAACAGTTATAATCGGCTGGCTTTCCTTTTGCTCCACACCGTGGGACAAAATCCAAGAGAATCCTCTTCAGGAACTCCCCGTGGGGTGAAAAAATAACTTTAAGTGAGTTTTCAGCTCGTTCGGTTGGTGGGGTGATTTTCAAAATAAAGAGAGGGACCAAGGGTCATTGCTCTTCAGGCAGGTCAAATTTTCTCTCACTGAATTCAATAATCCCTTTCACAAACTGAGCCATGTAACCATTTTCTGAAATTCCTCCAGACTCTATGGCCCTATCTGAGCTCCCCATTGCTTGCAGGTACAAGATTGTTGCTGTTGTAACCAGTGCCATATCCTTAGCAGAATGTTATTCATTTAGACGTTCAAAGCATAGTTATCGATGTGTCCTCATACTCTTTTAAAGAGTAATATTTGAATTACATCTCTATATAATAACCTGTTTAAGAATTTGTCTGAGTGTGCAGGAGACAGAGATCAGGAATAATGGGCAGAATGTGACTCGTGGTTTCATGCAAGGATCAGATTATGATCTGACTGAGTCACAACGTGCATTAACGACTTCTGTGAAACAAAGGAGTTGCACATTGTGTTTGCAAGTGGTAGGTTGGAGAAGACAGACACACAGTGGGAAACCATTGTTAAGTGAAACTGATGGGATATGCAAAGTACAAACAGTGAAACGAGCAAGCCTAAGGTCAGACACAATGAAAGGTAATCTCTGCCAGGAGCAGTTCCATCAGCCAAAATTCACTAGACTCTTTGCAAACAACAACTTTGTGAAACATACTGTGAAAGGGCCATGGATTCCTCTGAGACTCATTCATCTCACCTCATTGCCAGCGAGACTTCTCTGACTTGGGATTTACATGTTCAGAGGTCCATTGAGCCTCTGAAGAAGGGGTTCATCTTCTTCCAGCTTAACTAGTCAGGCTGACTATGAGCACACCTCCAGCCCTGTTTTCTCTGCCTCTCCCTGGAGTTGGCATCTGCAGGTTTAGGAGTATCTGGTGAGTTGATAGCTGACATTGGGGGGTAGACTCTTAAGGAGGATGCCTATGAGGAATGGAAGCAAGCGAGCAATAACATGCATTTGAGTATTGTCTGTTAAAAAAAGAGAGTTGAAGAGGAGGGTAGAGAATATGTGTGTCAGTCAGTGGAGTGCTGGATTGGGCATGAGGGTGGTGGTGTTGAGAGAGTGATGACTGCCAGTTTAGAGTTCTAGGAAACTCACTGCGTAGATATTACAGGCAGGTTCTGGGACCCTTAGACAGAGAAGGAATAGACACAATACTAGTGCAAACTGATGAATATTTATGAACTATTCACACCATATACAGGGACATGGCTAAACAGGACCTCAGCAGAACATGTTCTCACTCCAGTCCCAGTCCATGTGATCTGATATCACTGATATTGGACTCTGGCTACTAGCATATAACTATTCCCCCATGTTTAACACTCAACATACAATGCCTCATGAATTCATTAACCTTTTCAGGTACTGGGTCCTGTTCCTTCCCACCAGCCCAAAGATGTGCCAGTTAGGTGGTTTGACCATGCTAAATTGCCCACAGTGACCAGGGATGTGCAGGCTAATTGGGTTAGGATGGAAAATGCAGGCTTACAGGGATAGGGTAGGGGTGGTGGATCAGGCTGGGTGCTCTTCAGAGGGTTGGTGTGGACTCAATGGGCCAAATGACCTGCTTCCATGCTGTAGGGATTCTGTGTTTCTGCTGTTCACTGCCTCAGCAACTTGAAGCCACATGTGCCTAGTGACCAGGCTCCCCGTGCTGTTCTCGATGGAGGTTCAGTTATGACCTCCACGGAGGAGACTGTGATGTGGGGCAGTTTTTCCCCGTTTGGCATCGTCGTTTCGGCCATTTCCTGACTCACAGCACCTTTGACCTCCCCAGGAGCCACTTCCATTGTGAGTTCAACGGGGGCCCATCAACTAGAGATCTCTCATTGCTACATGCAGTGTGCCAACCTCTCCAACATTCCTGACTGGGTGGGGAACCGGGCTGTAGGCTGCAGATTGGTTTATTTCGGGGGGTGGAGGAAACACATTACCCTCCCTGGGGATTTGGGATCCTGGCCTAAACATGGTGTGTGCACTATAGTCGTCAGATTTTGCTCATAATACCAGTGTTGTAGCCAGTAATCTGTAATATAGTAAATAGATTCAGTGGTTAGTTGCTTTCCGTGTGAGATAACAAGGTGTAGAGCTGGATGAACACAGCAGGCCAAGCAGCATCAGAGGAGCTGGAAAGCTGACGTTTTATCATGACTACTGAAGAAGGGTCCAGACCCGAAACGTGAGCTTTCCTGCTCCTGTAATGCTGCTTGGCCTGCTGTGTTCATCCAGCTCGGCACCTTGTTATCTCAGATTCTCCAGCATCGGCAATTCCCATTATCTCTGATTCAGTGTGAGATTATTGTTTTTTTATTAAAGCAAAGGCACACTTAGGTGGGTGTTGAAATCAATATTGGTATATTAAATCCCAGACATCTGAAACAACTTGCAGAGTATTGAATAACTCCTATTTGGAAGGTTGACACGATTTTAATGACAGGAAAGTTGGCTGCAATATACAAAACCACTTTTGTTGTGACAGAATTTATGGGAAGAACAAGACAAGTAAAATTATTTGCATAATGTCAGCACTTATTCAGCTTGAGTTCACAATATTTCTTAAGCTGCTTGTTGTTGTTCCTGGAAATGAAGCATCAAAATTCACAAAAACACTTCTGAAGATGGGTCACTGGACCCGAAACATTAACTCTGATTTTTTCTTCACAGATGCTGCCAGACCTGCTGAGCTTTTCCAGCAACTTCTGGTTTTGTTTCTGATTTCCAGCTCTGCAGTTCTTTTGTGTTTTTTTTACCAAAATTCACACTACCATACTAAAGACTTTGAGTAGCCTGAGGTGCATTTCACAATTTGTTCTTAGAATGAGCAGGTGCAAGTCTTCCAATTCTGTGTTATGTTCCTTGAAGCCAAAGATCACTTAAATTGGGATTAAAACTGTTGCCACAGTTACAAAATTCTCATTTCAGAACTTAAAATGTAAATTATATGAAGTGGTGTTTTTATTCAGAATGTGGTAACTGGTCACATTCTAAAAGCATGTTTTGATCACAAATGACCAAAATTCATTTAAATTGAAGCTTAAAAAGGGGAAAGATGATAAGATGGAGTTTAATCAAAACAAGTATGTTTTGATTGTCATATCACTTAGCTTAAACAGTTGCTTACTGTCTACCTGCTATGTGCTGTATAACACAGCTACTTCCTTTTAAACATAAACCTGAAAGCTACTGAAGTAACAGATAGACAAACATTTAAACCTTATAGGAATGCAGATAGACTTGGAACATCTATAACCAGTTTCAATCGACATTTCATAATGAGGTTTATTCAGAACCAATCAGCATTGGGTTAAATGCAATGCTAATTTTAATTCATACAAAGACATCTGGCAGGTACAGTGTCCAAGTATGAACATGTTTTAGTTTCAGAGAGCACTTTCGTAAGAATTTTCTGGCAACCACAGCTAATTTATCTTTAATCTTTAGTTCATTCGTTAGACAGTTGTAACTGTTGTGATTGTAACAAGGTCAGTCAGGTCGAGGTAGCAATCTCTAGACCTGGCATGGCCTAAGTGTGGACTTCTGGTCGGAAGGTGATACCAGAGTGATCTCCCGGCTTCGTGACACCTGAGGTGAGGCCAGGCACAGTCTGGAGTCATGGCTCATTGTGGACTGGAGGCTAGGTGCCAACATGGACTGGGTCTGAAAACCGTTTCTCTGTACATATTTTCTTCTTCATTTCATAATTCCTTCCTAAATCTGCAATGTTGGACTTTTTTACTTCTCTGCTTTCCAAAAACTGTAACTGAAAATGCTGTACCTAGGGACCTTTGTACCTAAGACAGTCCTGTAAGCGGTAGCTTACACACTTCTTACTGTACTCATTTGAGTGCCGGTGACAATAAAGCTAATTCTATCACTTGAGGTCGACCTCATAGAAAATGAGTTCTCTGACTGGGGCTATAAATCTGGTCCAATCAAGGAGACCTGACTGATAGATATGAACTGGAGTGTTAGGCATCCTGTCACTCTCGCTGGCTGTGAAGGAGCTGGATCACTGTCAAGGACTCTCCACATGTAAATAAAGGGTGATTTGGTGACGGGATACTGGCCTCTGTGGAGTTATTTTAGTAATAATTGAGCTGGGTTTCAAGGTTTGTATCATTTTTATGCCATTTTAATGTATTCAAGATTTATTTGCACCCACATAAAGTCACTAGAAAGGCAGAAATTTGGTTTTATCCATTCTCTGGAAATTGTTGGTTAAATTCTTTTATGTCTTTCCAATTAACAACCCCTGTCAGCAAGTATTTTCACACTGCACCCAGTCTATCCTCTTCAGCTCATATTTATTTTTGTTCCTCACACCCTGACGTGAGGCACATTGCGAACTTCTTTCTATCATAGAGATACTCAATAAATGCAAAGCAGTTTTTATTTAACTTGACGATCAACATGCAAAGACCTGTTTTCCATTCACAGTGTGACGTGGGCTTCTTGCTGAATACTCATTTGATTATGTTCTTTCATTGTAGGCGAAACAGAAGTAGCAGCTAAACTGGAGAAACTGTATGGGCATATTGATGCAATGGAATTTTTTCCTGCACTACTACTAGAAGAACCCTATGAAAATGCCATTTTTGGGCAAAGTATTGTGGAAATGGGTGCTCCCTTTTCACTCAAAGGACTAATGGGAAACCCAATCTGCTCTCCAGATTATTGGAAACCAAGTACATTTGGAGGGAAAGTAGGCTTTGATATAGTCAACTCAGCAACACTCGAAAAGCTGGTTTGCCTCAATATTAAAAAGTGTCCCTATGTGGCTTTCCATGTCCCACACAACATAGATAATGAAAGTGAGAGGGGAAAGAAAGAACCCTCTGCTGAGCTGTAATCTGCCAAGAAGAATATTGGGACAGGACAATAGAGGTATTTGGTACATAAGAAAAGGCTGTATGGAATTATGCTCCGAATAATTTTAAACTATTTCAGCTAGCTTTAAGGGGGATATTGATCATGTGACAATAGTGTAGTAAGTAACCATTTTGTATTGGATTCTGCAATAGGTGTTAATAAGATGACAACCTTCAACAGTAGAAAGCATAACATGACAGTTTAATACAAATAACATCTAACATTTCACCCAAAATCAGAACACTTTTTCTTATTTTCCAGATAGCTTGTTTGATATAGAATCGTGTTTAATTTTGTAATGTTTTAACAAGAGTAGAAATTAGTTATATGTCACAGTGAGCTGATCTGTGTTAATTCTGCACTAGAATTTCTCACACTGCTAAATATGAGAGCGCAAATGTTTTAGGCGTGCTGGCATAACCTAAAACAGACATTAGGCCCCTTAGATACATGAATGAGGGACATAGTGGCTGTTAAGGACCCCACTGAGAAAACCATGCCCGATGAGTAGGTTAGGCATTGGGTCTATCCTCTCTCAAAATTCTTCAAAGGACCCTGCCATGGCCATTCGATGATTTTTAATTTTGTTCTTTTAGGAAAACAGACACTGTCCTCTGGAGCTGGGAAGCAGCATTGGTGCACTGCCAATTCTGCAGGAATCACATTCCGTCCTTTCCTTATAAGGACCCTTACTTTGAAATCAAACTGCTATTGTTGGTGCGCCTACCAATGTTTTGATTACCGATGATATTTTAAGGGTTAGGAGATATTGTCGACAAGAAAATGCAAAAATATATTATCCAATTGTTTCTATACTGAGAATAAAAGCCTGGGACCATAAGTAAATTGCATTATTTTTTCAATAAATTAGGTGTTCAGGTGATGCCTTTCTTGACCAAGTTTAGATTGGAGAGGCGTTAAATCCAGTGAGCTAGTGAAACTGTGTTTATGGGGGTTTAGTTGTGTTTTAAATGTTAAAAGAAAGGTGTTATTTTTAATCTAAACTCAGACCTCACCCAGTTTTACTCATAACTGAAAGCAATGGGTGCTAAAATTAGGCAAAATATGAACTGGGTTGGTTAGATTTAACTCATAACTAATTATGCTTCTTTTAGTTAATTGCTGTTAAGTAAAACGTGTAGTGATTGTAATGAAGTTAGCCAGGCGGACCTCATAGAATATGAGTTCCCTGATTGGGGTTGTTAATCTGGTCCAATCAGGGAGCCCTGCCTGACAAGATAAGAACAGCAGTATCAGAAATCCTGTTCACTCTGACAGCTGGCTCTGAGGGAGCTAGATCAATGTCAAGGTCTCTCCACGTGTAAATAAAGGGTAACTTGGTGACAGGATACCGGCCTCTGTGGAGTTATTTTAAAAAAAATGGAGAAGTTTGCAATCCTCTTGTTGCTATGTTTGATTAAGCTAAAGGATTTGGAATTGAAAAAGTCTTGTTTCTGTCTGCTGTCTTTTTCCCTCTCAATTTTTGAGAGCCTTTCCTTTCATTGGGAAAGCTGGTTTTAAATGTAGTTTCTTGCAGACAATGTATACCAGTTGTTCAACTTCTACCATGACAGACATGGACACCATAGAAACAAAAGATGCTGAGAGCGCACAGAAAGTCAGACAGCATAGAACTGTACAGCGCAGGAATGGGCCCTTCGACCCACAATATTGTGCCGAACATGACACCAAATTAAACTAATCCCTACTGCCTGCCTTTGGTCCATATCCCTCCATTCCTTGCATATTCATGTGTTTATCTAAAAGTCCCTAAACACCCCTTTCCTTGCAGTAACTGTTGCACTTCAGTGTAATTCATTGTATGTGAGACACTTTTGTATGGTAATAAAGCAATATATCAATGCAAATTGATCTTCCTTCTCACCTGATCTCAGCAGTGGCAACATTGAGTTGTAGCAGGATGTGGAATAAACCCCTTCCACTGCTCCCAATTTCAGGCAAGCACTCTTGATCCTACTGTTGAGCCCTTAATTGTGCGATGCTGCCAATTTGCAAGCCACTTTATAGTGTGGTTTAAGGTCCACTTACAATTGCCCTAACAGAAGCTGAAAGAATAGTCGTGGAGTCACAAAGGCCTACAGCACAGAAAAAGGCTGTTCAGCCCATCTAGCCTGTATTGGCCATAAACAACCACCTAACTAGTCTAATCTCATTTTCAACCACTTGGCTCATAGCCATGTATACCTTGGCATCACAACTGCATATCTAAAATCTTCTTAAATGTTATGAGGGTTTCTGCCTCTAATATCCTTACAGGCAGAGAGTTCCAGAAGTTCTACCACCCTCTGGGTAAAGGGATTCTGAAACATTAACCTGTCCCTTGTCTTCACAGACTGACCCTTGTCTTTATAGACTGATTTACTGTGTGTGGGCATTTGCAGGGTTTTTTTTCTCTTTTTGATTCAGACTGCAATTTATCATCTTCCTGACAAGCAAGTTCCTGGTATCTTCACACCCATTCACATAATCCACATCTGTCAGTGGTGCAGATGTCTCTTTTATAAGTACTTTCTAACAGTGAATTACGTTTGTGTAAACTGTGCATCACTTCAACATTTAGATACAGCCTGAACCAATTGTGAGATTCAGCTAATTTTAAAAATACACTTCCAGAATGCCCTGCTTGCCTATTTTTCTAAATCTAGTTTTTTAAAAAATATAGATCCTGGTGGTTGACTTAATGGCCCTTTCTTTATTGGGATCTTTCTTTGGAAAAGAATTTAAAACTTCAAAATGATTTGTTCTTATTCATTCAAGCAATGTCAATTCCAGCACAAAAAGAGGCAGCTTGCCCAGAGTGCCTGTGCCAGCCCTCCCTTAAAACTGAGACAACAAGGTGCAGGGCTGGACGAACACAGCAGGCCAAGCAGCATCACAGGAGCAGAGAGGCTGACGTTTCGGGCCTAGACCCTTCCCGAAACGTCAGCCTCTCTGCTCCTGTGATGCTGCTTGGCCTGCTGTGTTCGTCCAGCCCTGCACCTTGTTGTCTCGGATTCTCCAGCATCTGCAGTTCCTACTATCTCCCTTAAAACTGGATTGTTTGCTCTGAATTCCATTTCCCTAACTTTTTGTCCTCTCTTTTCTTATTTTCCTCTTGAATTATTAACCATTTCAGTCTGAAATTTGTGCATGACGTAACCTCAAAAGTCAATTGTGTCGATGCACGCATGCGAAAAGAAAATGAACTAATCTCCTAATATTAATTTTATTACTGCTTCACTGCCTAGAAACCTATCTATTTCTTTCTTAGGTTCAGTGAATTGGCCTCTTATCATCTACCCTGAGACTTGGCCCCTTGTTCTAGACCCCCAAGCCGGGGAAAACATCATTCCTACATCCAGTGTGTCCAGCACAGTCAGAATTTTATATGATTGAGTGAGATCACTCTCAATCTTCTAATACAGGCCCTGTTGATCCAATTTCTCCTCATTGAAAAGTTCTGCCATCTCAGGAATCGGTCAGCTGACTCTTCGCTGCATTCCCTCAATGGTAATTTTATCTTTTCTTAGGTAAGGAAACCAAAACTCCACACAATATTCCATGTCCTGTTGCACTTCAACCTCTCCCTGTCTATCACCATTTAAGTTATATTCTGCAATTCTGTTTTCCCTACTGAAGTGGACAAATTCACACTTCTCCACATTATAATGCATCTTCCATGTATTTGCCTACTCACTCAACTTGACTACATCACCTAGAGGCCGCACTATATTATAGAATCATAGAGTTATACAGCACAGAAACAAAAACTTCAGTCCAACTCGTCCATGCCCACCAGATACCCTAAACTGATCTTGTCCCATTTGCCAGTATTTGGCCCAATTCCCTCTAAACGCTTCCTATTCATGTACCATCCAGAAGCCTTTTAAATGTTGTAATTGCCACAGCCTCCACCACCTCCTCTGGTAACTCGTTCCATATACGCACCATCCTCTGTGTGAAAAGGTTGCGCCTTAGGCCCCTTTTTAATCTTTCCCCTCTCAACTTAAACCTATGCCTCCTAGTTTTGGACTCCCCTACCCTGTGAAAAAAGATCTTGGCTACTCATCCTATCCATGCCCCTCATGATTTTATAAACCTCCATAAGGTCACTTCTCAGCCTCTGACACTCTAGCGAAGAAAGCCCCAGCCTATTCAGCCTCCCTATATAGCTGAAACTCTCCAAACCTGGCAACATCCTTGTAAATCTTTTTTGAACCCTTTCAAGTTTCACAACATCTTTTCAATATCAGGGAGACCAGAATTGAACGCAGTATTCCAAAAGTGGCCTCAACCATGTCCTGTACAGCTGCAACATGACCTCTTAACACCTATACTCAATGCACTGACCAATAAAGGCAAGCGTGCCAAATGCCTTCTTCACCACCCTGTCTACTTGTGACTCCACTTTCAATGAACCATGCATCCCCTAGGTCTGTTTGTTTGGCAACACTCCTCAGGACCTTACCGTTAAGTGCATAAGTCCTGCCTGATTTGCCTTTCCAAAATGCCACACCTCACATTTATATAAATTATGCTCCATCTGCCACTCCTCAGCTCATTGACCCATCTGATCAAGATCCAGTTGTACTCAGCGATAACCTTTTTCACTGTCCACTACACCACCAATTTTGGAGTTATCTGCAAACTTACTAACCATACCTCTTATATTCACATCCAAATCATTTGTGTAAATAACAAAAAGCAGTTGACCCAGCACCAATCCTTGTGTCACACCACTGGTCACAGGCCTCCAGTCCGAAAAACATCATCACCTTCTGTCTCCTATCTTCAAGTCAATTTTGTAACCGATTGGCTAGCTCCCCCTGGATTCCATGTGATTTAACCTTGCTAACCAGTCTACCATGTGGAACATTGTCAAACACCTTGCTGAAGTCCATATAGACAATGTATACTGCTTTGCCTCCATCAATCTTCTTTGTCACTTCTTCAAAGATTCAATCAAGTTAGCAAGACATGATTTCCCACGCACAAAGCCATGTTGACCATCCCCAATCAATCCTTGCCTTTCCAAATACATGGAAATCCTATCTCTCAGAATCTCGTCCAACAACTTACCCACCACTGACATCAGGCTCACTCGTGTATAGTTCCCTGGCTTTTCCTTACCAACTTTCTTAAATAATGGCACTACATTAGCCAATCTCCAGTCTTCTGGCACCTCACCTGTGGCTATTGATGATGCAAATCTCTCAGCAAGAGGCTCACCAATCTGTTTCCCAGCTTCCCACAAAGTTATGTGATACACCTGATCAGGTCCTGGGGATTTATCCACCTTTATGCACATTAAGATGTCCAGCACCTCATCTTCTGAAATATGGACACTTTTCAAGATATTACTATTTATTTCCTCAAGTTCTCTAGCTTCCACATCTCCTTCTCCACCTTAAGTACTGACGCAAAATACTTGTTTACTATCTCACCCATCTCCTGTGGTTCGTCTTATAGATGGCCTTACTGATCCTTATGGGCCCTATTCTCTCCCTAGTTACTGTTTCTCCACACCACTGGCAATCCTGGCTAGTTTTGGTTTGTCAGCAAACCATCCCAATCATTGATATATATTGTGAAGAGCTGGGGCCCAAGCATTGATTCCTATGATCAATTATATTGCTTTTCACTCTCAAAATGACCTAACTATTTTGATCCATACAAAACTCCACTAGCTTTATTAAACATGATTTCTCTTTCATCAATCCATGTTAACTTTGTGTAATTCTACTGATATTTTCTACATTTTCTGTTATCACATCTTTTATCATAGACTTTTCCCATCTATGGGAGCAAATGATTCTGTTATTACTGGACAAGTCAGATCCAAAACTGACATCTGATTTGATAGATCATAATTTGTTTTCAGGGTTTTAACAAGGTGTGTTTTCACGCAAACACATGCACACAATGGTGTAAGATTGGTTTTAACAGTACACAGAAATTAAGATAAAATTGAATAAACCAAACTGTGTACATAAAATACAAGCTTAAAGACTTTAAAACACATGGTAAATACATTAACCCAGCACCACCCTTTTACAATACTCCAACACCAGAGATATATTTGCCTTCATTAAAGCATCAGTAGGCTAAACTTAACCAATGCATCAATTCCTGGCCTTGAGAATCCAGGTCTTCATACAACTGCGTTTAGACTTGCCCAGCTTCAAATAACTGCAAGTTTTAACCATAGACTTCTGATCTGGAAATTTCAAACTAAACTCCTTACACTTGGGGAACGTATTTCTTAACTATCCTAATAATAGAGTAAAATAGTTCTGAACTATCTCCCATCTTAGGAGAAACTGTTTTACATGTCCAGCTTCAACAAGGA